ACAACAGTGTAAAATTGGAATCCGCCTGCAATGTCTGTATGCAGGGATTACGACTTGACTCCATAGCACTGTACTATGACTGGATGTTGTGTCATATCTTACCGGTAGATGGCGTTCGCAACTCGTCTACCGATGGTAAGGTTGACACTGGTCAAACCCAATTAATCATACACGCTAAAAAACAATGAAATCGTAACACACCAGTGCTTACGTGAACTACCCCACGTTCTGACGGTGGTGAGGACTAGGGAGTCTAGCAATCCTCTCGCATGTAACAATAAAATCATTACTTTGCATATTTCTAAAATGCATAGGCTGATAGGTGCAAGGAACCTCGAAAGATCTTCAAGCCGAGACACATGGAACATTGACTCAGATTGAGGAGTATAAAAAGTGAGATAATGCAGTTGCTTCTGCTGATATACGTTTTTACTCGTTAAACAATGCTTGTGTGAGTATTGTATTGCAATCTCTGAATTGAAGCCATTATTTACAACTTGTAAATATTATCAGCTTTAAATGTTCCTCAAATATAAAGCCTGGAACTCTTGATTCAAAATCGGGCCCGTTGGATAACAAGAAATGCAAAACAAATTTGTTTTGGAATATTGATGTCTCTTAGATATAGTCAAACTCAGATGATTATTTGGGGTTTGCCATGGAAACAAATAGGAAGCCGAAGTTGTTGGGATTGATACACGAAATGAAATTCAAAAAATACTTGGAAACGTTCCACAAACTTCAAAATACCAACATACGGCAGGGGATATAACCAAGCATTTTGGGCAATGGAGAAATGAGATTCTAATAATATTTCCTACTTTTGCTTCGCCGTACCTCTTGGCAACCTGTCATTTAGTGTTTTTACGTAATTTGGTCAAAGAAATTTCAGTTTTTAAAGTTGAAGAAATATCTTAGCGGGTCACAATCGCATATGCTGTAAGCGAAAAAACTCTGAACTATCACTTAGACTGATATTTGAAAAGTGTAAACGAATGTGTGTTTCAGGATTTGTTTTTAAAAGCGAAAAAAACTTGTAACTATTTCGATTTGGTTTATCAATTTATTAATTTTTAGGCTATGACCAATAATACCTCTCTACTCTGATATATATATAGTTTGTAATCCACCATTCCGATATAGGCGGTATACTTCATTTAAATATATTTCTAATTCAATGGACGCGTAAATAATTTCTAACGCTTATTAGTACCATGTAAAAGTCAGTGAATTACTTGATGTATGATGTATCAGTTTGTGTTGCATTCATTTCTTGTTTAAGTTTAGCGTAAAATGTATACACCACTTATGAGATGTTCTCGTTGGATTCCTTTTTATGCTTGTTCAACGTGATATGTTTACGCCATTTATAATAAGTTTCAGTTTCAGTTTGAAAATAATGACCTAGCATGCTTGGAATAATATTTTTGCCGTATTTGCCACTTTATTGCTTATATTTCCACTGCTACTATGTGTATGTCGCCGGCATGTATTATCAGTTTATTGTTAAAACATCTTAGTAGTTGATAATTCAACTTTTGAAACTTTCCAGTTATCTCCCCCCAACCACCCCGTCCACGCACAAACAAACACACTAATATATGAATGCTCACATTCTATAATGAAATTTTGTTTATGGGGCTCTTTCATCTTTATCAATGCATTCACCATTTATTGGCTAAATTTTAAAAATTTCCAGCATTATCGAGCAATGAATGAAAACAGAAGAATTATTGATATTAGTGGGGGGAGGACCCCAACTTTTTTTTAATTTTTGGTGAAGGCTCTGCTCGAGCAGCTTTATATGTATGAAGTAGCATTGTGAAAAGTGTCGAGATCTTTCGGTTGATTCGGCATTAGCTGCCAAATTATAAAACACTAGATCAGTGCCCCCACAAGGGGGCGTAGACATTTTTTTTGAGGGGGCGTGAAGCTAATTAAAAAAGAAGAAATTTGTTAGATTTTATCCTTCCCGCCGTATTTTCGATATTATTTTTTATTCGTTGTTTACATTACTTTATCATGTACACACATTTTCAACGTGTTTTTGAATAAAACATACTTTCGCCTTACTATCTTCCATTTGTAGCTTATTGCTAGTTATTTTTAAGGTGGGACGTTAGACTTGGCAAATTCTAAAAAGGGGCCGTGGCTTAAAAAGTTTGAAAACCACTGTACTAGATATTTAGCCTGGGATGCCAACTTGGCTAAAGTCCATTGCTCCAACTACTGCGTCACCGCACACGCTCTTTTCGTCGGAATTCAGAAAAGTAAGAAACCACGGGTATTCTCGCGGCTATTCCACAGTGTGAACAGGTTTCGAAGCTGAGAAATGTAACAACAACTTTCGACGCGCGATGGTGATTAGATACACAAACATACATTCTAATACACAAACGAGGGAGAGAAATTACAATGCAAAAAATCAGAAAACTCATTTCAATTCGTACTAAAACAAAATTAAAAGTTAATAACTATTCAGACGACCTAGATTTTCGATTTTGAGATTTTTTTATATGATGCCAATCCGCGCATTGTATTTCAAACAATGCCTTGTACAAGCGGCGACTGATATCTAGTTTAGACAGTTAATCCCATATAGACAATATCTTAAGGTAATATTACCAAGTAGGTTATTCAGAATTAGGTTAGTCAGCCAGTAAATCGTATTTTGTTTATCACAAAAAATAACAGAGGGCACAGAAAATGAAAACATAAAATAAATCAACTTTTAACGTTGTTTAGGTGACAGGATTTTTTCCTGTATTAGCCAAAGATGGGCATATCTTATTATGTATACGGGCAACTGTTTTCACCAGGAGTCGCATTTTTTTTTTTTTTAAATTCCTCCTTTCGCTTATTTTGGAACATTTTAGCCTCCTTCATTATGCATAAAAACAACTTATTTGTTCAATTAAAATGTGTACATAAATATGTATTATATAATACATAACTAAAGAATATTAGTATCACTACAGCATATACAAAAGTACGTCAAAATATTTTCCTGAACGGAATTTTTCCCCGGTTGGGAAACTTGGGTTTATATCGTCTTCACTAATATTATAAGATCCCCAGACTTGAGCCAAATAAGGACGCTGTTACGCAAATGACTGTAAAATAATAAACGATCGTAATTCCCAAAACTAATGCGAACGATTTTATCGCCCGGTTGGTCGCCGATGTTTCGTCATCACATCGTTAAAGCTCAGCTGACATACGAGAGACAATTTTGAATATTCTCGGTGACGAAAGTGAAAAAACGCCAGTTATAAACATTGGTTTAGCGCTTCAGTTGCAAATCAGAGTATCGCAGTGATAGCGGTAGCATGTGGTAATCCAGAAAACGGTAAACGTCACTTTTGCTAACGAGTTAGGATAAGATAGGATTTACATATTTATCACGTAATGATATTATGATATAATTTATCAAGTAATGAAAGCCGATAAGACAGTTTAATCATGTGGCAAACCACGGCCTCTCGTCTGTTTACCAGTCAATGTCGAATATGTGATTAATTAGCCTGTTATTTGTTTTCGAAAGCATGTATTTGAGTTATCAGAGCTATTCTCTGCATCACCCCACCAGTAATTTGGATCGGATCTACTTATATCAGTATCTATTATTAAATTATGTTATTTTACACAGAAATTGTATTTAACTTGCGAAGCACTAGGTTGGCGAAGGTAAGATGACAAAAGCACTTACAATATTCCGTCGAATGGTCACGGCTCTTGCCTTTCTGCGGAGAAGCGGTCAGTTGGGCTATCGTTAGGTTAAAACTTCGTTTTTATAGCGTTATATTAAAACTTTGCACAAGCTATAACTCGGTATCAGTGAGACTGTGGAATTCTAAGTAATTTAAAGTAATTGCAAAATGATAGAATTGTAAAAGAGATAAAACTCGGAATATGCATCAGTATAATTTAAGGCAGGGAAGGATTTGAAAATATATTAGCGGGAATATGAAAGAGTCTATATGACAAACTGCGGTCGCTGATTCGGCCTGATACATCTAACCATTTAATCCTCTATGTCGAGGGTTGAACAAACACGCAACATACCAGCGGATGTTAGGATGAATTAGGCCAACCTTCAAAACAGGAGCGTCAGTTACAAATGCCTCGTCGAAACCGCTGGCCGCACTTTTATTCAACATAATATGCTTTCTAGCAGTTGTAGGCATAATAACTTTAGTTATTGATCTTATTATCTACATAGTTTGTTTTTCACAAGCTAGCTGTTAATGCCTTTTAACGTCATAGGCCTAGATAATAAATTGGATTTCGGTATAGGCTTTGCAACGCAAAGAGAATTAGAAGTACTCGCACGGACCAGATTGAACATCGTTGAAAACTTATTTCACGGGCAGCACACCATTCAAAATTTTCACTTCTCCGTGGGCCGCACATTTGTTTCCTTGTGGGGCCGCATTTGGCCCGCGGGTCGCAGCTTGCACACATCTGAGTTAGGCAGTTATCAAAACATAAACATCTTCCACGGGGTCAAACACATGATCCGATTTCGTCTGATTGCAGAAGTTAAGCAATGCCGGACTCGGCTGGTACATGGTGGGTAACCGGCTGAGGATACCGTATTGTAGTTTTTTGACAACCGCAACTACCGCCACAGCTTAGAATCTTGACGAGCCTCAAATCTCATAAACTTAGCATAGGGTTTCGGAGCCGTGGTCATGACAATCTTGTTCCTGGCGCTTACTTGGATCCAACTAACCGTACTTAGGCTCAAATCCATTCCAACAAATTCAACGATTACAACCTTCGTTATTCAAAAAAACTTCAAACATTACAGATTACGTAAGCCTCGACCTCTAAGCTGTAATCGTGACCTTCATAATCCTACCCCGCTCTCTTCGGTCGAAATATTTTTTAAGTTCATGTCTGATTTTCTTGGGTATTAAACATGTATTCGATATTTTTAGATCAACTTCCTCCGATCGTATTTAAAACTAGACAATGTCTCAAATAGTTGTTTGTAACACTGTTCATAGCATTGTTATTCTGTGGTCACGTGCGGTCACAGTTGACTGTGGTTGACCCTCCAATTATGCAGATTGCAACGGGTGGAGACAACAACGGGAAGTCTAACATGAAATATGACGTAAAAATACGGAAATATACTGTCGTTCGAGTCCCTGAAACGCCGCCCTCGACAACAACGGAAATATCGACAACCACAACAACACCACCTCCGGATTTAGATGTGAACCATATTGAAGTTCAGACTCGCTCGACTTTTGAAGAAAATTTGCTTGAAGAAGGTATGCGATTTCACACCAGTTGTTGTTTTTGCAAAGATTGATTTCAGAAAATATCTTTCGCGAATGGCCACATTAGGACCGGATCTTTCGTAGAAAGCCACTAACGCAAAAATGTGACATTTGAGAAAAATACCACCGCCCTGTTTCAAAATAACAAATTAGTAATTGTCCGGTTAGGGTGAGGAATAATTTGAAATTTTGAACTTCCAGCGCAATATGCATTCCTATAGTTCTCACCCTAACTGAATAATTAACAGTTTTCTTATTTTGAGCGGTGTTGTTGGGTGTTTTGTTTTTGGCGGTTGCTTTGTACAAAAGATCCAAGTTAGCCTGCCTAGTTACTTTTAGTTAGAATTTGATACTTAAATTATCCCAAGTTGGAAGTCTCATGTGGGCGATAGCCTATCCATCGTTGTTTTATGCACCTAACTATTTACAGTTATAGAGTCTATTATGCTCTTGATTTGCCTAGTTTGGATTACTGCCTATTGATAAGCCACCCTTGCATGCCTGCTACGCTCGTTTAGCTAATATCCCGAAATGACAAACTGTTTTCTCTCAAATTGATTTAATCCAGATGTCAGTCACATGCAGCGATTTTACAAACAAGGCACAAGCAATCATATTACATAGCATGGATATATATACCAGTTCACTTACATTTAAATGAAACTTCGTCAGAACTGATAATCTTACTATATAAGAAACTTAGGAAATAGCCATTACTTAGCTTCGTGAAGGAGACATAATCATCGACAAAAGTACACCACATCAAAAATCTATCGAGTAATTAACTAATTATCTACTGAAATTTATTAGTAAATCAATTAAATGTACAAACCACAGTCGGCCAAATACAAATCAAGTTCTTATAACTAAATATGAAATCATTTTAAATTCTTTGTCTTTAATTTTTCAAGAATTTCGTGGTGTTTCATATTCCCTATCAAATAGGTCACACTACGAATATTTTGCGAAATTGTTAGTATTCATTACGCCCTTAACATTGACCTTATTTCAGTTTCGTTAGTTAGTGAAATCTCTCTCCTTATTCCGACCACAAGATCCTAAGACACATGGACAATAGTGTGTTTATAAACAATATGATAAATGAATAGTCAATGTCGAATCAAAATGAATCTGGCTCTTCAAAAAAGAAGAGTCTCTTTCATATCGTTAGATATCAGTGGCGCTTGTACAGAGATAAATAGGCTTAAGCTAAAAACCCGACCGGATAAACTGACTTATCTGTAACTTAGTATAGGCTACATTCTTTATTTTAGTATTTCCCACTGTTGATTAGGTTATTAGAATTTTCAACAAAACTAACTCTTTGTTTTTACCAACCGATAATTCAGATAATTGGGCTTTATTTTTAAATTTATGAATCACGGCCATAATGGATTTGATTTAAAGTTTTCTTTCTATCTCATAGATCACGACTGCGCTTTTACTTTCACTCTGCCGAATCCTCGACCCAGTAATCAACAAGTTTGCGTAAGAGACGTCCGTGCCTTGATGACGTCATATCCAGAAGAACGACGCACTGGCGACGAAGAAGCTTTGAATACGTTACGGAATGAAGGTGAGAATGTTGTTATTTAGTAATAAATTGGGGTGGTACCGAGTAAATTTATTGAACACTTGAACTTCTGTTTGTGTATGCTTGTACCCACAATTTAAGGGGTCTCCAGAAGTGTGTGTGCCGATATGAAGGTAACTAATTTTGTTCGCCTACTCTACATAAAGTTGTGTAAAGGGATTGAAACCTATGGGCAGGGGATATATTCACTTGGCTGACACAGACAGTCCCGAACTCGTAATAGAAATAACATAAGGAAAATCAGAATATAATTATGGCCTAACTATAACCTAGTACACACACTACGGCGGTACCAATTGAAGTAATTAAGAACTCTCTATACAAAAGTTATGTTTTCACTCTCTGATATACTAAATGCAAACTGCTGTATGGAGAGATGGATTCACTTTCACAGTACGAGATTGCTATACATCACCGGATGATTTGTTAAATAACTTTGTTTATTGTATTTCAGTCTCTCTATGGCAAGAATCAATGGGAGATCTCAAATCCCAGATTGAAGAAAGATTGGCAGTACCGTCGTTGGAACCAGTGAGAAATGATGTAAGTACGAATACCATCTGGTTACTTGACTTGACATACGTCATGTTTTTATAAGTTGTTGGAGCGGTTCTTAAACTTCCATGACCTTTGAATGTCCCAAAGACTCTCAAGACTCCGTGCACTTTAATAAATGAACAAAAAAAATAGTTTTGCTTCCAAAAAGTTCCTGTCACGATTAATATTGAAAATTCAACAAAGAAAGTAAAACAATAAACGCAATGCGGTCAAAGAATCAAAAAAAGAGTTAGAATTCTCAACACTCCGTGACCCTCTGCTCTTTAATAAATAACTAGTTTGGTTTTGACGGGTTCACATCTGTTAATTTATTTTCCATGTTTGATAATAAATTACATTCGAGGAATTAAATTAATTCACAATCAAGCTACTCATCGCAAATGGTACCTGCTATCTATAGTGAAGGTCTTTTTTTGTGGGCCCTAGAAAGCCGCTTCCGAGTCTTGGGCCCAGTTTATGAAAACTTGGCTTAGCGGATTCTGATACAAAGCCTTATTATGAATAAATGTTTGAAAAGACTTAAAAATATCATTTTCATAACCATTTGTTCCTATTTCCAAAATATGTCCTTGTAGGATGCCTTGCTCGATGTAAAAGGCGTGGGTGAGCGTCGCTTAATAAGGAAAATACTCTAATTCCAGATGTCCAGTAGTATGTTTACCAGATTATAGTTATGCCTTATTTGATTCTGATTTTTTCTATTTTAGTTATATTAATAGTTCAGGGAATTATATATACCCCCGCTCATAGGTTTCGTTCCCCTTACACAACTTGATGTAAAGTAGCCAAACAAAATTAGTTACCTCCTTATTGGTACACAAACTTCTGAAGCGCCCAGAATTTCACTCTATATCATATTTTACAGGTCCGTTTACTCCAGAAAGAATCTCGAAATATGAATTTCAGGATTTCACAACTTTACATGCAGTTGTTGCATGAAATCATTAGAAAACGCGACGATACGATCGAATATACTTCGGTTGAAAACAGCGTCATGAACGTGACGATCAAGTATTACGAATTAAAGGTCAGTGTTGGCTTATGTTCATTTCGTTTCGCTATTTTGTGTAATTTTACTCAGACGTCATCTTATTTGCTTCTGAGTGAGTGGGAATGACTTTGCTTTGAGAATATTTTTTTTAACACTAATTGACAATCTCTTGCGTGCGAGCGAGAAACAACAATAATTTAATATAACCTTCAGATGTACTATGAATCAATTATATATCAATTTTGGTATTGGCTTAAGTTCATTTCATTTCGACTTTTTGTGAAATTTTACTCCGAGATCACCTCCTTTGCTCTTGAGTAAGTGTGCTTTGAGTTATTTTATTTGACTAATTGAAGCGCTCCGAGTTCATAATGTCAGAAAAAACTACGCGCAAACGAAATACCGATAGCTCAAGAAATACTACAAATAGATTTTTAAAAAATTAAAAAAAAAACTAACCAATCTTTCGCCTGAGAGAAACCGCAATAATAAAGTATTATCCATCGATACACTGCAGAACAATTATAGATTTATTATCGCGACAAAAATGATAAGAAATATTGGTCCTGATGTATTTAGGTTATTAGTATTTGTTAATGTCAGTAAAAACCTAGGTGCAAAAATTTTTTTTGAAAGTGGATGAAATACTCTCGTCTAAAAAAACTTACAAACAGTCTAGAGCCGGGATGGACAATGTTTTTGGACCAGGGACCTATTATTCTAACCAGAGACTAGAGTGCCTGACATTAACAAATACTAATAACCTAAATACATCATGATTCGACCAATATTTCTTACCATTTTTGTCGCGATAATAAATCTATAACAGTCCTGCACTGTTTCGAAGGATAATATTTTAATATTGTTGTTTCTCGCGCGCAAAAGGGGGTCAATTAGTTTTTAAATAATATCCTCAAAGCAAGGTCATGCACACTCACTCAGAGGCAAATAAGATCATGTCTGAGACAATAGTGAATAGACAATAAACAGTACGTTCACTTCGTCGTGCAAAAAAATCACAACACAAATTCAAAACAAACTTTTTTTATGCATTACAGTAACGGATTTCAATTTTAACAAATTCCTTGAGCTATTTTTTTTTACCTGAAAAATCAGAATTTGGTTTTAGTTTGCTTGTGGCATCATTAGGCGGGCCAGACTGAAGTATCCAACGGGTCGGATTTGGCCAGCTGCCCGTAGTTTGCTCATGTCAAGTCTAATGGGTTGTAAACTCGTTTGAGATTTTTTCACCAAATACTGGACACGTATGTTTAGATGTTAATACATTTTATGTAAGAAAGCTCATACTAGCTCATACGCTCTTGAGCGAAAAATGTTTGACACTTGAATATTTATTTGCGACACAAAGATGATAGTCAATATTGATTGAGTCAAGATTTGAAGCCGTTTGCGTATTTGCTCTTAAAAAACAAATATTAGCAAACGAATTCACCAATGATTAAGAAAAACTTCAGCTTAGCTATGAAGACATATACATCTACACACAGAGTTACAAATTTTGTAAGATTTATTCACGAAATCGAGTAATACTGAACAAGATATAAGTGAACAAAATTTCCCAAATTACAAGGAATCTCTCAACTTGAAGAGACATGAACACCCACACATTGAATTGAAAATTGGTATAGGATATGTTTTTCACAGTCGACTAATACTTATATGAATACGTGGATTTATTTTTTACTAATATTACATTCCTGTTGAAATACGAGTGTATCAACACGATGCTGTTGCCAAATCAATTTCGTCACATGTTTCAATATTTTGTAAGGAGAGCCTCATTGTTAAATGAGCTATAACCCCAAACTAAAACCACGAAATATTTATTAACTGTTAGGAAAACTCAAAAATATTACTTAATTCTCACAATCATTCTTCCTAATTGCGTCGTCGAAACATTGACTTCTCGCCAATTAGGTTCCAAGGAAAAAGCGAGTCTTTATGTTATCGCTATGTTGATATCCTTCTAATTACTCAGCTGTAACCGCAGTTTTGTCGACGATGCTTACTTACCCCTATTGCTGTAGAACCAGACTTTGATTTTTCTGTAAAAATTTTTGGTTACTGTGCTGTATTTTAATTCTGGTTTTGTTGACAAAACCCACTTAAACCTACTTTAATATGGAACACGTGTTTGCTCTTCTTGTAATCAAATTACTCCGAAATCGAGTATATTTTACAATATTTTTATTAGCATTTGTCGCAACAGGATATTAGGTTCATGACGATAGACGTGCGGGTTTTGTATTTTGATTCTTTTGACATTTAAGTCGGACATTTTAACTAGAAATATTTTCAAATTGTGGTCAAGAGTTTAATAAAATTTGGTTGTCACATAATATGGAACGTGATTGAAGTAGAATACATTTTTGGCGGTTGGTGCTTTTCTTTTTTTTTTCGTATGGAATCGCAGGGTGGCCGACGTCACCGCTGGTCGGTTATGACGTACCCCACCTCACGATCACCAAGCACCAAGCATCTCAAGTGATAACTGATAGATAGATTTTTGGATACTCCCGTAGTGTGTGTAACAGGTTAGGATTAAAGCATACTTTCCTTCCTATTTTAACCTATTTAGTTCACTTACGAGTTCGGGCACTGTTTGTGTTAATCAAGTGAATATAACCCCCTGCCCATAGGTTTCCGTCCCTTTACACAACTTGATGTAAAGTAGGCGAACAAAATTAGTTACCTCCATATTGTTACACACACTTCCGGATGGCCGATTTTTGTATAGGTATCTAGCGATGTACTTATCGTTTTTGTTTCGTTTTCGTTTAGCGATGTATCCGAATAGTTTTTACGATTTCGGTTCGTAATTTAGAAAGTGCGTGAAACTTTGCGACGGTCCCCATGTTTCTGTTAATTCGCGTAGTTCAAATCCGGAATCAAAAATTTCCATGTAACGACTTCAGAAACAAACGCCGGGAAAACGCAGTTTGAAACAGCTTATTTTTTCAGCGGATAGTGATTTTTCTGATGCGCAAAATAGCCAATACATGACCGATAGGAGCTTTTGAAAAGTCTTTCCATATTAATTTTGTTGAACGTAACTCGAAGTCGCAATATCTTACGACAAAATAAAAGCACTCTACCTCGTATTCAGATATGGACATCCCGATATGTGACGCTTATTCACGTCTTTCGCACCGATAAAGACCCTGTATAATCACCCACACTGATATCTAACGATTAGTCGGCAAGTGGACGGGAGAATTGGTCTGCTTTGTTGCTAAATCTAGCCGGTTTTCTCTCCACAAAAATAAGCAAATCTCAATTTTATCATATTCTCGGTGGAAATAGCTTGGAGAAATACTGCAAATGCGACCGAAATATCATTTAGAAAGTAAAAAATGGTTGAGAACGGGCGTAGTTTTCAATCACTTGTCCAGGGAAGCCACCAGATATTTTGCCTAATATATTGGAATCTAGCAATGTTTCATGAATACCATTGTTGAAAGCTTTCAATTATGTTCATCTGATGCAGTTTACATAACCTAGTAAAAATCACGTTGGCACTATTACCTTACACGACATTATTAGGCGTACCAGTTATACATATTGACAGTGACATATTACGGACAGTAATGTATTTTACATAGACATATCATTACAGACCAATTTGGTTTCCAATTGGACATAATTTGATTTCACTTTCTTGTTCAGGTAATTTACAATATCCGCTTTCAATGTATTGGTTACAAATTACAACGTATATGTGATTCCAAGAACGTTTCATCCTGCCGTTCCTTGAATTCCACTAGATGTAATTTGTCTGGTTGTGATTTGTCCTCATCCCGGGGGGAAGCATTTGAACATTCAACGAGGAATCGTGTAGTCTCTGTTTACTACGCCAGTTATAAGAACTATAAAAGAATAATAATAACAAAAATAAACAAAGAAATATAAAATTATGTCAAGGATATATTTGCAATATTTCTTTCAGGCTTTATATAACTGAAGTTGTGACATTTTTACGGTCTTCGAAACTATTTAATCACAAAAGTAAACGAAGAAATATGAAATCAAGTTGCTAAGATGATCTTTTTTTGAAATTCTATATAACTGTAAGTTGTGACATTTTTCACGCTATTTGTAGCTATTTACGCTCCAAAGTGCACTTTCGAACAAACAAATTTTCTCGATCTATTTGTAACCGCTGACCAAAAAACGGTTAACCGCTCAATCCAATATGTCTATCACACATCACTTTCAAATGCGCGCATAAATAACATGTTGACTCACACGTCGAGTTCAGTGAGCAGTATAGATAAACAGGGAGTTCATAAAGTCATGTATTGAGTTGGGTTAAAGAACTTTTGAGTTGCTTAGTGCAGTGGATCCCAACCTTCTTTCCGAGTCATCCAAATCTTTTTAGAAATTTATTCTGTAAGATCTCGCGACCCAAGGACATGATCAAATACTAAACAGCATTTAGTACTCTTGTGGCCTCAAACTTGATGCCTAATATAAAACAATCATTTTTACATAATATTTATTCAGCCAAAAATTACACCAATAGAAAAAAGCAGCCGACGTGGCTTTAATTAGCAAAAATAATGCCAGGTTTTTACGCATTGATACTTCTCACATATATGAAATAAACAATAATATTTACTAGAAAGTAAAATTAGTAACTTTCAGTTTTTTTGCTGAAAAAACAAGAGACCCAATAAATTTGGAGGCGACCCAGTTTCGAGTCGCGACCCCCAGGTTGGGAAAACTGGCTTAGTGTAGCTAATGGCGGACATATAAACGAAATAGTTAGCACATAAAGTTGTATTAATTGAAAAAAAATCTTACATAATCACCCATTAAAGTAAACAATCAAAGTTAAGACACGTTAAAAACTGTTTTCCCAACTAAATTCTGAAATTGCCACAGGATTTCACAAACACTCTAATTAAGCATCCAACCAACCAAAATTGCTGGAAATTTTCTTAAAACTCAGTAAAGTAGAAACAAAATGATTGATTTGACAAAAGCGATGTGAAATTTCGCTCATGTATAACGTT